TTCCCAGCTGTGGACACAAAGATATGCAGCAATTCTATCCCATTCTTTTCCTTTCCACACCCAAGCTTTGTCTGAAACAGAGGTCAGATACTAGTCTTTGACTACAAAAAGCCAAGAGAGGACCAAATGGACTGTTCTGATTTATTTTTCTGAAGGAGAAAGAAAGAAAAGATTTCATTGCCCTAGGAGAGAGGAAGTTGTTTACAGAATCTTTGAGGGAGAAAAAATATGGCTCCCCTCCGAAATGAAGGAATGAGCATAGACATCTCCATCATCAATTCCACTCACCAGAACCCCATCAAATATATTTTTAACATGAAAACTGTGTGTCAATGTCTAGTATCCCAGAAAAAAAGTTATGTGAATCAATCAACAAGCGATTATTAAGCACCTACTATGTGCCAGGCATTGTTCTATGTGCCTAGGGTATAAAGACAAAAATGAAATAATCCCTTAAGGAGCATAATTATATTGTTTTAAAGAAAAAATATATACCTATATATACATGTATATGTATAAGTATACAAAACCTATAAAAAGTAAATAATAAGGTAAGATATGGAGCATTGCTCTAGATTCATTTAGTCTTTTTTTCTGTTCATTTTTAGGAAGGAATATAACTAAAGTGTTATGAATGTGGGCTAAAGTTGTCTGTTGATTTGAATCCTCTCCTGTGGTGAACCAGAGTAAATGAACTGAAAATATCTCCCTCTTCCTCTCTCTCTCTTCTCATTCCCATCCCCGTATACACAGTTTTTGACCCACTGATTTTTGGTATATATCAGCCAACATCTGCAGATTGTACCCCTGTGTATATGTAACCAAAAACTGGACCTGGAAAACTCTTTCCAAAATAATGGGGCTCAAATTTAATTTCAGTTCACACCTTTTTAATATTTTTTTGCATGGAAAAAATTAACCCATTTCCCAATTTCCTATTCAATTGGCAAATAATCAAATTCTTGGCTGGTTTTCAGATCCTTTCCATTCTCGGACATTATAAAAACCAGGTGGCCTCAAATCCTTTTCATCCAGATGACCTCTTGTTCTTCTAAAATTGGATTTGGGCCAGGTCTGAGTCAGGATGACATTTTGTCATTCTTCCAAGGCTATGTTTTGTTATTTAATTAGACTTTATCTATACACACTTCCTATTCAGTACTTTCTTAAAAATAAATTTCCATTGCAAAAAAAAATTATTTTCAAATCTTAGAACTTAATCACTTTCTAATTCACATGCCCAGTTGGTCTTTATCCCTAAAGTTGCTTATTTAAAGTAGCTGATAACTCTTAGAAAGCAGACCACTACAGAAATCTTTTACTTGTTTTACACTTTATACTTTACTTGTTTATAGCCCCAATTCAAGAGAAAATTTCTCAATCAAGAGGAAGCCCATTCTATTCTGCTTCATTTGGCACTATTGACCGTCCTTCCCTCCCTTCTTCCTGAAGACTTACTCTTCCTGGTTGTCCTCCTACCTGTCTGACTGCTTCCTCTCAGTCTCGTTTTGCTGGTTCTCATTCATATCATACTTTCTAATTGTGAGTATTCCCCAAGGCTCTGTTCTAGATGCTCTTCTCTTCTTTTTCTGCATCTCTGAGTGACTTCATCAACTCCTGTAGGTTTAATTATCATCTCGGATGATAGGGAGTCATACCAATGACTCCCAGGTCTATATATGCAACCCCATTCTCTCTTGAATTTCATTCTTGCTTCAACATTTGCCTTTTTGACATGTCAAACTCAGTATCTTAGGGACATCTTAAATTCAGTGCATCTGAGTTCATTATCTTTTCCCCTATACCCCACTCTCTTCCAAATTCCCCTTTTTTTAATTACCACTTTTCAGTTTCCCAGGTCTGTAACCTTGGCATTATCTTTGACTTCTCACTCTCTCTCCCCTCGTATATTCAATCAGTTGTCAAAACTTATCATTTCTATCTCCACATGATCTCACTTCTCTCTATTTTTCTCTACTCCCACAGCTACCAATATAGTTCAGGCCCTTCTCCCAAGATTATTTCAACAACCTCCTAATTGGTGGTACTCCTTCAAATCTCTCCTCTCTTCAGTCCATCCTACATACTACTGCTGAAGAGATTTTCCTTAAATCTAATCAGATCATGTGCATGTCCCATGCAATTCATGCCTTTGAACTACTGTCTCCCATGTTTGTAATGAACTCCCCTCTCACTTTCTTCTTAACTCTCTGCAGTATGGGTTCCAACTTCATTTAACTGAAACTACTTTAGCCACTGTTACCAATGATCTCATAATCACCAAGTCTCCTGGTCTTTTTGCATTCCTTATTCTTGATTTCTCTGGAGCCTTTGACACTATCAATTACTCTCTTCTCCTAGACTCTTCTCTAGGTTTTCATGACATTGCTCTGTCCTAGTTCTTCTCCTTGTTTCACTACTTGTTTCACTCATTCTCTTTTGATGAATCTTCATCCAGGTTATTCCTACAAATGAGGGTCCTCCAAAGTTCTATCCTGACTCCTTTTCTCTTCTCCCACTATTCACTTTACTTAATGATTTCCTCAACTCTCATGATGAGATAAGAGTAGATATGATGATTCTCAGTGCAGCCCTACCTTCCTTCCTGACCTTCAGTCTCAAAATCTGCATTTGCTTATTGGAAATCAAAGATATCTAGATGTCTTGCATACGTCTTAAACTCAACATGTCCAAAACTGAACTTAATATCTTTCCTCTGAAGCCTTCTTTTCTATTACTGTTGAGGTTATCACCATCCTCTCAGTCATTCAGGCTCACAGCCTAGATGTTATCCTCAGTTCCTCACTTTCCCTCATCCTCCCCATAGCCAATTTGTTGCCAAGTCATGTCGATTCTACCTTCATAACATCTCTTGTATATGCCCCTTTTTTCTCCTCTATCAAATGTCACCAGCCTAGTGCAGGACCTAATTACCTCATGCCTGAACTATTACACTGGCCTTCTGGTTGATCTCCCTGAATCAAGTCTCTTCCCACTCCAATCCAGCCTACATCCAGCTGTCAAACTGATCTTCCTAAAATGTGAGTCTGGGCATATTTTACTCCCTGTAAATTCCTTTTCACCTCCAGGATCTAATATAAAATCCTATTTGTCTTTTAAAACCATTCATACCTTGGGCTCTTCCTGCCATCCAGTGGCACTGACCTCTTTGTTATCCCTCACACCACTCCAACTCCATATATATTCACTGGCTGTCCCTAATGCCTGGAATTCTCTGTCTCCTCAACTCTGCTTCATGGCTTACCTAGCTTCTTTCAAGTCTCAGCTGAAAATCCACCTTCTATAGGAAGCCTTTCCTGAACCTCCTTAAATACTGATGCCTTCCCTTAGAAAATATCTCCAATTCATCCTCTGTGTGCGTGTGTGTATAAAAAATGTATTTATCCATAATTGTTTTCATGTTGTCTCCTCCGTTAGACTGTGAGCTCCTTGAGAACAGACTGGGTTTTTTGCCTTTTTTTATATCCCCAACACTTAGCACAGTGCCTGATATATAGTAGGTACATACATGATAAATGCCTGTTGACGTCAGTGCACACCAGGTGAGAGCAATTCTTTAGAGAGAGTTGAGGTATTCTAATGTTGCCCCAAATTAGCTATTTTTATATTTTCAGAAATCACCATAAAACATTTATGTGACTACATTAGCAAAAGATGTTTTTGAATATGCATTGTATATCTTTTTTGTAATGACACCTTAAAAGTAGTATTAAAGGGAAAAAAACTGTCTTTTGCTCTTGGCCACAAAACAATTCTGGATAATTTTCAAAATTGACCTTTGAAGGAAAAATTTAGATCCATGGGGTTTGTATGATGAAAAAATAGGCTTGATTAGTAATTGCTATCTACTCCAAAAAAACTGAGAATTTTTTGTCCATAGAGAATGTGACTTGGATAGTTTAAAGTAGAAATCAATGATCAGATAGAAATTTAGTTATTCTATCATTTGGCTTCTCAAAATATATAAATCATCTATGAAATGAAAGATACAATTTTCAATGTAAATTCTTATTGATGCTATTCAGGCTCCCCTCCCTCAATAATGGATTCTTCTTTTGAAGAATAAATATCCAAATTCTAAATTCTCATTTCCTCAAAGTCACTGACATCTTTATAGCACTTTATGGTTTACAAGATGTTTTCTTCACAACAAGAAACTGAGACCCAAAGAGTTTTAATGACCTAACCAGGGCTGTCAGAGCCAGTACTCAAACCAGATCCCTCCCTTCTACAAAGTCTCGTGCTCTTTCTCATACACTACACCAGCTGTCTGTCATCTATCTGTGTGATTCTTTCCTCCCACTTCCTCCTCCTTCCTTCCCTCTATTCACTTCTTTCTCTCTCTCTCTCTCTATGTACATACACACTCAAACACGTATCTTTAATAAGAAAAACACTGTTGATGAGGTAAGCTTCTTGGCAATTTAAACAAAATTGTAGGTTGTGTTGAGATAAATGTTGATTTGAAAAACGATTACAACATTGCTCTTCTTTGCTCTGTACATTACTTTTTAAGGAGAGAAAAACCCAGGATTAATTTATAATTCTGAGTTCTAAGAACATCACCATGCTTGCAAAGCTAAAAATTCCTATTTTAAGCACTAGCCCAATTAACCTATGTCAGTCAGGACTCGTTAACTGTTTTCTATCTTCCTAGCAGATGAAACCAGAGCACAACCACCTTTCCTCCAAACCCTACTGAAAATAGCTTCCCCAATGTGTTGGTTTCTACTGGCAGTGTTTCCTCCTGACTCACACAGTGCTCTGCTCAATGTCAGGTTCAGTGTCAAGTTTGTGTCTGTTGCATTAACAAACCGAAATTTACTTTGTTCCCTTCTACTGGAGTCTGTGGTATGGCTTGGATGGTCTTATTTTGTCTAAATGGTTTCTTTCTACAAAACAGAAGAGAATTTCAAACTGGGGCAAGAAAAAAGCAATGCTCATTCACCCACTTTTTCTTTTTCCCTAAATGTCCACAGGAGCAGTTTGAATTTGCCTTGACAGCAGTGGCTGAGGAAGTAAACGCAATACTAAAGGCACTCCCTCAGTGAGCATCCCCATTCCTTGAAGCTTTCTGAAGACTCGTCCCTCATCTCCTCATCCTCCATTCCTGTGAACACTGTTGGAAACTATAACTTGACCTTAACTGTGTCTTCTATTGTAATCACATAGTCATAGGGTCTTCAAAATGCCTATAGCTGATACAGTTTAGCGGTTAAAATGTGTATTTTTGTTTAAATAAAAAATATATAGAAACATCCATTGTTTGAGAAAGGGGGAATAATTCATCTATTCATTTTCACTTTCTTGAAATAATTTTTCACTTCCTTAAAGCAAACATTTCACACGCATTTAATTTCAAATAATATAATAGTAGTGGTTCACTAATTAGCATATTCTTATGCTCTTAGAAAAGAGTGCTTAGTTTTCATCTATAGCTTTCCAAAGGAAGACTGATAGGGTCTTAAATTAAAAACACGCAGGTAACAAAAAAAATCACATTGGAGATATGTGTATGTGTATGTATATACACACACAAACATACATATAGAGATACATATATATTTTTTTAAAAACCTGACTTACCATAAAGAGATGCTACCTTCCCATGAAGAGTTTGAGCAGCTAGACAGAAGGTTACCTTAACAGTTGTTAATATTCTGTAGCTTTTATACAAATGCCAGGAAGAAAGCAAATTGCTGGCGTCCTGCTGCTGGCCTAAGCTGGAGGAAGGTGATTTCACCTTACTGGCGCAGATGTTTGGCAGCCAAAAGCATATAATCCACAATACTGATCACAAGGATTTTCTCCCATGTTCAAATATGCTTTCATCTTATGTATATACTATGCTTAGAAATTTTTTAAATTACATTTCCTGCTCACATAAAGTGCTTCCCCTACCTTAAAGTGCTAAATAATGCTATGTTTCCATTCAAACGTAGGGACAGACTTTCCCTGTGATAGAAACTTATTCAAAACAATATACTAGTCCATCTAACATGGAACCATATGTCAGTCCAGCATTAGGGCAGCAGCATTGCAATATTCATTGTGTGGCTGGATGGTCAGAATAGAAAGAAAAATGCAACAAGGTGCTTGTGGAAAGTTTCTGAATACCACACTAACCAGTCTAACACAGTAACCTCACAGTCCAAGAGATGCAATAGTACAACCTGTAGGGAATGTTTTATGGGTCCCTCTTGGTAGTCCTGGGAAATGTACCATGGAAATTCCCATTCATTTCATGGAAGGGAAGGCATATAAAGAAACTTACTTCTTTACGTGTGACTTCACAATGTCAAAAACACCCAGTAGAAAGATAGAAAGTATAATCAGACATCCATTTATATTTTGTCCTCTAATGCCTCATTTAACAAGATTTTCATCCCCTTGCTGAATTAGATTGGGTATTTGGGGTTTATATTTGGGGGCTGAATACTTTTGTTAAAATTGTACTCTGTGTTGTTGTTGGCCTCCCAAAGATACTTATTCTTTTGCCTTTCATTGGACATAATTATCATGCTAAACAGACCCAAAGGTCTTCCTCCCTGGTTTGGATTAATTCATAGGACTGTGTACAAAGTGTTTCCTGTCCCTTTGCTTTTCCACTGCATACCATGCAATGCCTACCATTTTAACAAGTTATGACATTTGAAGAAGCAGTTCCTACTGTAAGAAAAAGAGAGATGCCAAAATGTATACATCTGTTAATGGTATAGGCGTATGACACTGCTTTAACACATCTACCTTTCCTTTGGAAAAATTATGGGTTTTTTTTCCTAGTGGTAATTTAAATCAAAGGCAAGAAAACTATCTGAATGAAGGGAACTAATACCTAATTATAATGTACAACTATGTATGTCTCAGATATCCTCCAATGAGGGAGGTATATTTAATTGTGCCATATTAAACTTTTGATTTCAGACTTGAATGGTCTTCATTTATGGATGGGAGAACACTTCTTTTTCCTATCAAACTATATTATTTTGGAAACCAACATAAGTTTATGTTTGCTTAAACAGTAATAGTGTATGCTTAGAGCCGAAAGTCATATTGCTATTTTAACTACTGTGTATGAAGTATATTAAAGGCAGGAATGTCACAGAGATCTTATTTTTAGCAAAATAATTAATCTTATCAAAAGGCTCCAGACATGCCTTTTTCTAAATAGGTGTCATAGTCTATTCTTAGTATCTGTAACTATTTGATATGGGTATCCTATAGGGAAGTGATTACAGGTACCATTTTCTTCTACACAAAGCATTCCAGGCAGAAGAATGTCTGTCTCCCTTCTATCTCTGGGAAATGAGTTTCCACGACCTTCTTTAGTAACTAAACATTTGTCCTAGTATTTCTTCAAATCCTTTACTACCACAGAGATCTTCCTTAAATACCCTACAAATTGTCTATGCTTTGGGAAAAGTTCATTTCTTCTTTTGGCCTCAGTGGAGCTAAAAATGACCTAATTAACCTCCTCTGCATAACGGCCTCTCAGAATACCTGAAAACAGCTATTAAGTGATGAGCATATTTCAAGCAATAACTAAAAGAAAATGCATTCCTAGGAGATGACAGTCAAGAGAAACTTTTTCCAATTCAATATTTGACTATTTAGGTAAATAAAGTTAAATAATCACCATCAAGCAACTTTGCCTCAATAACTTCAGTCAGGACAATGGCATGGCTTCTGAAGACATACTACTATGTCTCAACTGATTAACTTCCAATCCCTTATTAAGAGAATGATCTCAAACACTTAATGCAGGAATAGTTAGTATAACTCTGCTTTACAACTAACCACAGGTGAATGAAAACCTACTGCATCAATTTTGCTCCTTATGTATTTCCCAGAGGCAGAACAGACTTACTGAATATTTCAATGAGCTGAATAAATTCACACAAGGCTAATATAGCTGGTAATTCAGCACTATATCTATGGCACTTCCCCCAAAGACTCTGGCAGTGGCCAGTTGATTTTAGAACTTTGGCCAGAGTAACTCTACCTAAGTCTCTTCATCAGTTAAAGTTCTGTGTAGTCAAAAATGTTTTACTTTTTAAATTATTTTTATGGTGAATAAAACAATCTCTAATTCCTCCTTGGTGCCTATAAGTTTGTGACCCATATTTCAGGATTATGCCCTAAGATTACCTGCAGAACTTCCACTGCACAAGTAAATATGTTGTTTCATGGTGTTCCTTCCCACTAATTATCAATAGTGATTAACAATTGCCATTGTCAATAAATAGCATCAATAACAATTACCATTACTGGTCATGATCATTCTTCCTTCAAAACTACCTACTGCATTGTACTAGAAACATCCTGAGTGACACTCCTGGCCTCAAGTATCTTGTACTCTCATAGAGAAGACATGAAAACACTAGACAAGAATTATGGAGGAAGATATAAGGAAGTAAATGTGGAGACAAAGAGTGATCTAATGGGAGAAACAATAGTCAGAGGAGACCTCTTGATAGAGATGAATCTTAAAGATGCTAGTCTTTTTTTATAAAAATGATGGGATGGATGTGGCTGATTGTCCAAAAGATTTCACAAGACAAAATCAGAGCCAAGATACTAGAGTTTAGAATAATGGTATGCTCTTGACTGACAGTGCTGTGGTCCTTGACCAAGATATGTCCACTTCTAGCCATATTGTTTTCTTCACGCTATGACCACAACCATTCATCTTTTCTTCAAGTTACTGTTGTTTCATCTCCAAACTGTTTTATGACCAGACATTTGCATGAAGTACTTTGCTGAGATTGCCCCCTTGAGACCATAGCAAATAATGGATTTGGGGATTGGATGCTATTTTTACGAAATAAAAAGCCAAATCAATCAAACTTTTATACACTAACCCTAAAATCCCAATTAACAGCAGAAAAACATCATGTCAGTGTCAATGTAGGAAGTGCGAAGATATATGGCTTTCATGGTAGCCCTCATTGGTGTTCTCTAGATGTGTGTGTGTGTGTGTATACATACATATTTATACACATATATATATACATTTATATATACATATACACATGCATACATACACATATATCACACTGAGTAATTCAAATTCTCAATTTACTTTCATCATAACTAGCAAATTTTGTAATAAGCATTTAACAGATGCTTGTCAATTGATACACCCAAAAAAGTCACACAAAATGCATTCAAGTCAACAGGAATAAAATACATCCTCAAAAACCACCAGGGAGGCCTTGGCTTGAGGACTGGTGGTGGGGAAAGGTGTCAGACACTGAAGAAACTCAATTATTCTATCAAGAAGTTCAAATTCTCACCTTATCCATCACAGCTAAGTAGGGAAATATCAAAGCATTCTGTTCATCTCACTCTAACACTACTGAAAACGTGTACTTTTTCTAGATGATTCTTGTCCTCCGATGAGGGACAGTGTTGGCTGGTGGTATAACATCTGGCCTAAGATAGACAAAAGTGTACATTTCTGTTCCATTGTAAGTCTCAAGACTATTCCATTATATTTCTGAATGAGAGATTATCACTAAAGTCTATCACTACCTGCGAGTAAAGGGAAGAAAAGATGTTTTAGAAGGTCATAGCTTCAACAATTGAGAAGCCAATGGTTTGAGCAAAAGTTCAACTCATGCAGGTGCAAAATTCTCCATCCCTTCTGCATTTATCTGATGCCACAGCTCTCTGGCAGTTAGATGTACAGAGTACATGTTTGTATTTTGATTTTATTTTGACTCTAAGTCAGAATGGCCTTGATTCTAAGTCAGCCAAGAGTCTGCCTTTACTCAGTGAAGTCATGCAGCTGGCCCTTTTCATGTTGTGTGCCAGCAATGATTTTGTTCAACTTGGTTGTCTCTTGACGTGGGCGGCCATCTCCCTTTTATGCAGCTAAAGTAAACCCTAAATCAAATCTGCCAATCAGATGTGTGTTTGGGGAGCGGCAGGAGTCTGTTTTTCAATTTTCATACCAGGGACTTGAGTTTCAAGTTGATCCTATTGATACATTTTATTAGATGGCAAAAAATTATAATCTTGTCATAAGAACATTCTTTTTTTTTTCTTCCCAAGTTAACTCAGAGCTTTTCAAAAGCTGATTTGCATGCCCTCTGCTCTCTGTCTTTCTTTTGCTGTTTTGTGCTCTCATTTTTAAATGCATGCATAAAATAACCTCAACCTAGTCCATAGGGAGATGACAGCAATATTATATGTAAACTCTGTTTTGTGCTTTATTAATCAAGTAAAACATTAATAAAAGACCTGTCATAAGTGGGAAAGGCATTAATTTTAAAATGTTTATTGGAATAGAAAATTAGAATTTGATTATACCTTTGTTGCTAAACAATGGGTCGTTTTAATTTTATTCCATGTATTTGTTTAGAAGCTGGTCTTAGCCATTTATTATGATCCACTTTTTAAAAACTGTACAGTTTCTATCTTTTGATTTTCAAATTGAATATGATTTGTAGGTTTGATTGGTTTGCTTTTATTTTCTCCCTCCTTCAGAATATTTGAAGGTTTTTCTGTGTTCTAAAATACTAAAGATATACACACCCATACACATAGACCCACACATATACCCCAAAATTACTGCTCATCTCTCTAGGTTCAGTTCTTAACGAAAATAGTATGCTAAAGGTCTGCCCTACAGAATGCAATTAAAGCATGATTTCTTTGCATCATATTTAATTTACCATATCCCACAACCTAGAAATGTGACACCAGCAAGACCTTATTGGAGATGTGTCCATGCATGCACTTTGTATTTAGTGGTGCAACACTGGTCTCTCTTCAGGTGTTCATCAGTTACACTAAATTCTTAATATGTATATAAAAAAGAATTATACTATAAATATTTTGTGCTACCTCTATACAAATTTCACTTGTGAATAAAGTCACATTGTCTGTGGAGTATTGTGAATACAGCAACATGGTCTGATGTCTTCTTGGGGGCCAATAACTAGGTAGTTTGGGGGACAGAATACTACACGCCTGGCTTGCTAGGTGCAGACCAGTCTATAGGGGAAACTAAGGATTTCCTAGAATTTGCTGGATACTTTGACACAGAGTAGATGAGAATCTTCACATTGTGAATCTTAAAGATTCCACTGTACTTTTTCAAGAGCTAGAAAGGTCTCATAAATTTGGCACTGAAGTAACCGTAGTTATACTAAGTTAGCTGGGACAGGGCTGAGACAGAAGTTTGGTTTCTAGCACCAAAAGGGACAACATGAAAATGTGAGTAAATGGGGTTGTCTTTGCCTATAAGATCACTTAATGAGTGTCTAGCACAGAAGTCGGGAGCCCGCAGCCTTGAGGCCACATGTGGCCACTCCTGGAGCATGTAGTAAATACTAGACTCTATAGATACAAAGTCAAATACCAAATAAGTCAGTCCCTGTCCTTAGGAACCTAACCACCTAATGGTAGAGATATTCTACGCCTATATAGACACATGTAAAACACATACAGATTAAGTACAAGGCAAAACGAACAAAGCAGGGAGGGAAGGACCAAAGGTAGAAAAAAGGAAATCAGTTATAAACATAGGGGACCATCAGTGAAAAGATGAAGACAGAAAACTGAGTGTCATATATGAACAAAGGAAGAAGGCTAGTTTGGCTGGACTGCAGAATAAATGAAGTAGAGTAATATGTAATAAAAGGCAACTAGGTGGAGCGATGGATAGAGCACTGGGCCTAGAGTCAGGAAGACCTGAGTTCAAATCTGGCCTCAGACACTTACTAGCTCTGTGACCCTGAGCAAGTCACTTAACCCTGTTTGCCTCAGTTTCCTAACCTGTCAAATGAGCTGGAGAAGGAAATGGCAAACCATTCCAGCAGCTTTGCCAAGAAAACCCCAAGTGGGGTCACAAAGAGTTGGACACAATAGAAATGACTGAACAATAATATGTAATAAGATTGGATCAGTAGGGTGGGACCAGATTGTAAAGAGATTTAATGCCAAATAGAAGAGTTTATATTTCATCTTTAACAAGTCACTGTAATTTGTTGAGAAGGTAGGGGTGACATAATCAGACCACTCGTTTAGGAAAACCACTAAAGGTGATTGGGGGGATGGGTTGGAGGAGCGAGAGATGAGGCAGAGAGATCATTTAGAAGGATATTGAAAAATATTCCAAACAAGACGTGATGAGGTCTTGTATTAGGGAAAGGGATATTTTAGTGGATAGAAGAACATTTATGTGAGTGACTTTAAAAAGATAGAAATGACACGCTTTGGCTGCTATCTTCTGTCCTCACAGCACTGAATTCTTTGTGCCTTCCATAATAGTAGATAGCTGGTAAACTAGGCAACATTCCATAGTGGAGGGACATGAACTTCTTGTGTAAGCTGAGGCAAGCCAATTAAACTCCCTGTGTCTCAGTTTGCTCATTTATAAAAAAGGAATCACTGGGACCAGATATTCGCCAATGCCCCACTCAGCTCAAAAATCCCCTGACTCTAATTCCAATGACTAGGGATCCCTTCACTTCCCAACTGCATTTTTAACAATGGCTTTTGGAAGGAAAGACCCCTGCCTTTGTTGTCTAACAGACAGGACAGATAGGTAGGAGGGGATGGTGTCACAGTAGCTTGGTGGGAGGAGCTATTTTTAGGCTGAGGACATTATATAAAGGATAGGTCCTAAGAACAATCAGGATTCAACTTAAGAAGGAAGAAGTGTCCTTAGAATATTTTGTTTTGTTTTGTTTTTCAAGGTGGAAACTTTTTGGCTAAGTCTTCTGTAGAACCAAACTTGACTCATTTTACTGGGAGAATAATGTTGATATAAGGCCTTCAGTTTGAATACTAAAGGGATTTCATTAACCTTTTCTTCCTAAAGAGGTAAGTTTCCTTTCTGAAGGAAAAAAAAAAATCTCTTTTCCAAGAGATGTGTTGCAGCAACTTTCATTGACCAGTTCAGCAATATGGTTCTTACTTTGGCCTCTACCACCAAAGAGTTGAAGGTTTAGGAGTGATGATACTGCTGAGACCTTTCACAGCATAAAGAGTATGGGCCAAGGCCTGTGCTGGGACTAGCACTTTGTGCCTTAAATTCTCAACACTGGTGCCTTTCCCCTCAGAGTGAAATATATACTTGTGATCTAGAACAGAAGTGTCAAACTCCTGGTCAATAAGCCAACGCCCACAAAACTGCTGAATGCAGCCCCTAAATCAGATTAAAACATAATTGGGAAACATCTTATTAAATCAATAAAAATGAAATACAGATAATGTTAATTTGTGTCAATGTGCACCCCACCACCCACCC